TGTCCACGCGCAATTTAAAAATTTCAAATTCAGCTTTCCAGGTATGTAAGGAATCCACGCACGGGCATGTAAAGTTTTTGGCGGGAAAATTGCTAATTCGGCATTCAGAAAAGCTGGAAGGCTGAAATTTTGGGAGAATATTCCCTGTCCAAGTACAACTCGAATATTTCAAATTCACCTCAAATCTATGCGTGGTACTTACGTTAGGACTTATGAAAGCCCCTGCGAGAAAATTACTAACTCGGCGACTAGAAAAACTGGAGGGCTGAAACTTTCGGGGGATGTCCCTTGTCCAAGTACAACCTAAGTGTTTCAAATCCAGCCTTGAGTTACGCGTGGTTCTTACGTGCGGGCGCTTAAAATTTTGGCTGAATATCTGACTGAGTTTAAAGAACGATCGTTAAATGGAAATTGTACATCTACTTTATGCCAGTGATCGCAAAAGGTAAGTGTAAAGCAACAACCATTTATGCAGTTAATAACCTGAGTACTTCAAGTCCGGTGCAAAAACGTATGATCGCATGGGCCCGCCCGGTGCGTTTCAGCCTGGGTTATGAAAAGCAAAGGCATTCGGGAAATGGTTCGCACATTAGCAAGTGCCAGTCGTCACTACCCGCATACGTTGTTTTCGATAGCGATTCTAAATTAAAATCATACTCCATCAAATTTTTGAAAAACAATGTTTCGACACGCTCACCCTCTTCCTGCATATGTTCGTCGATGTCAGGACCTGCGTTACGCTCAATGAAATCTATTCCCACAAAATGTCGCTGAAGCGCTTCTTGCATCGTTTCATACAGCGGCTGCTCCTGCAATTTTCTTGAATGAAAAGGCATTTCAGTGATGTTTGAATGCCCAAAATTCATGATTATGCGTTTTTGCCGTGCAGCGCTAGAGCGCTGCAACAGGCAGCAAAAACGCATATTCCAATGACCCTGTCAGTGTGTGTGTGTGTGTTTGTGTGTGTGTGTGTTCGTCTGACCGGGTATTTCAACTCGCCAGCCACGCAGGCTTTGAAGCTGAAATTTTGCCAGTATGTTCCGCAGCTAGGTTCCACCCCAGGTCCGCGGTATCAACTTCCACGCACGTCTGGGTGCCGCGTACGAGCATGCGAAAGCTTTGGCGAGAAAACTGATAATTCGGGAACGAGAAAAGCCAGAAAGCCAAAATCATAGCGTAATGTTCCCAACTCGTGTATGACAAAAAGATTTCAAATTCAACCGCCCAGGACTGCCC